GAACTTTCCAGTTCTGGCTCAGGTCTGCATACATCCTTATGACAAACTTATTTCCTCCCAGCAAGCCTCAGTGAGCTCAGAATTACCCCCCTTCCACTACTCCACAATCCTCCCAGAGTCTGGTGACAAGTTTAGGATTGAGGCCACTATTGGCAGCAGGGGACACATATACAGCCCAAACTAGCTTAAGCCAAATGGAAACAAAGTGTATTGTTTCCTTTAATTGAGGTATCAAGAAAAGAGACCAGCTTGTCTCTTCTGCCCTGGACTCAAGGCCCAGGGAGGGGTTTGGGCTGGTGGGACCGTGGTTCTCTGTGAATTCTCACTTTGCCAACCCTTTGGGATGGCCCCCCTTTGGGGCTTTGTGTAAAGTGCTAGCAGAAGCCTCAATCCCCACACCCTCAAGGGACTGGAATGAGTTTCTCTCTGAACCTCAGAGCCACCTTCTTATATATCATTGAGTGGCACACATGCTCGTCCCAAGTAAGCTCTGTGGCCAGAGACTGGCTCAGGCCACATCATGTGATGCTGTAGGGGCTCTGCCCTAGAGCCTAAGGGTGGAGAGGGCAGGGAGAAGAGTGGGGCTGAGTAATTAATACTCAGAATACGGGTGGAGCTGCTGGGAGAGAGACTTAAGGCGAGATTGGTGTAAGCAAGACAGGTTTGCCTCTCTGCCCTGTGTGCAGGTAAGCAGGCTGGGAGCCCACACTCATTTCAGTTCTGTTGCTTCCCTATCCCTGGTTTTATTCATGTTACAAAATGTTTTAGCATCTTCTCTTCGAGTCAGGGAAGCAGAAAAGGGCAGGAGTGGGGGCTAAAGGCATCAGCTGCCCCACCCACCAAGCAGAGCTTCAGGGAGATATGCAAGTCTTCCCCTTTCTTCTTCTTCTTGATTTCTATGTCCCCAGAGAGAAAAGAATTCTTTAAATACAAAAGAGATGAAAGCAATTTGGGTCATTGAGCACTCCCAGCTCATCTGTCCCTTTCACCAGCCAGCTGTCTGTGTGTCCTGCCCCTCTGGAGCACAGATTGCTCTATGCCTGGGGAGACAACCCCATGGCTCTAACCAGGGCTGGCGTCCAGGGTCTGTGTCTCAAGTCTGCATGTGGCTCCCAGAGGTAAGAATGGTTCCATTCGCACACAGTGACTGTCTCATCACATCCAGAGTGCAGATGCTGGCAGGCACAGGGTAGCCATGCTGGGAACCCCAGCAGAAGGAAAAGCGGGGGCTCTCGGGTCCTGAGACACAAACTGTGGATTCCGGGGAGTGGAGTGAACGGCTGGATTCCAGTTCTGCTTTCCAGCTGTTCCCAGGAGTAGACTTCTTTGGGCATGTCTTGGTCCCCTGCACAGGGCATAGAAGTTGTACCCCTCTTCAGGCTGTGCAGGTGTAACAGCCTGCTGGCTGCTAGCACAGGCTTGAGGGCCAGGTTGTACAGACTTGTGTGTGGGTCTTCGTTAACATGTGGGTCTCAAAGTCTTGGTTGCTTTTCTGTCTGCTTGCTTCTAGTTAGTCTCAGCAGCACAAATGGTATTTGTAAAAGCTGTGTGTGGTCTTTCATCTCTCAGCCTGTGTGTTTATGCCTTAGCTCTCTGCCAACTCAGGATCAGTCAAAATACTCTTCCTGGTTCAGAAGAAAAAAAAGCACCTGGCCACCAAGCCGACTGTGACAGGCTGAGGACCCAGATGCTCGCAAAGGCTGGCTTCACATTCTTGTCTCCTGCTAACATGAATTCTGCAGAAACTTCTCCTGAACCTGCCTCAGCCTGCCGCAGAGAGCACACAGATATTTCAGTCTTGCAAAGCTGTCTGCCTCGGGCTGCAGCCAAGAGGTAGCAGCTTCTCCCTTCAGTCTCTGGGGCTGTTCTGCCCACATTCTTCTGTCACATGGAGGGCTTGGGGGAGCATGGCAAGGAGCACCCAGCAGACGCCCACACGCTGAGGTCTCCAGCCATGTCTCTCACCATCCGGGGTGTCATGTGAGTCGGCTTATCATCCGCTATGGCCCGGTATAAGAGGCTAGTTTCCTAGCCTGCCTCATGTGTATAGTTAGGACATATTTCTACTTTTGTTACTTGTGGGACTTTCTGAACTTCTTCCAGGTATAAAATTCTATATTAAATAATTTATAGGCTTTCCTTTTCTAAGAGAACTCTCACCCTAAATAGTGGCTTACGTAGGACAGAGGAAGCTAGAAAGAGTATTACATACTTGTAATCCCAGCTACTTGGCAGGCTAAGGCAGAAAGACCACAAGTTCAAGGCCAGCCTAGGCAACTTAGCAAGACCCTGTCTATATAGAAGATAAAAAGAGCTGGGAGTGCAGCTCAGTATACAGGCTTTGAGTATAATCCATTGTAGGGGTGGGGGGAGACAGACCACATTAATTTCTCTTTCACATAAAACCTGGCCATCATAGTCCATTGCTGAGAGGTGTCAGGATACAGGCTCCTTCCATCTGTGCTCTGATGTCCCTGGGGTCTTGTCCTTGTCTGAATGGTAAAAACTTGATTTATTGTCAGGCCTTCATTCCCACCTGGACAGAGGGAAAGGGGCAAGGCACATTTCTTCCAAAGGGTGAGACCAAGACATTGCATACATCACTTTTGCTAACTTCTCACAGGTCAGAATCCTACAGAATGGTGTCTGAGGATGTGGTTAGTGTTCTGGGCAGTCCTGTTCTTGGGGACACTGCATACTGGGAAACATTTAACAGGTTGTCTCTGGGTGATAGATCACTATATGAAATAGAGGGATGGAGTGTGGGGAGTGGAAAAGCACCAGGGGTCTACTATAGGGCCTCTCCTCTATGTGACTCTCCTGTTTGCTCCCACCACTGTGACCTGATTGTCCTTTAGTGCATCTGTCATCACTCTGCCTGAAGCCCCTACTATACAGGGTCTTGGCCACAAGATACCTCTAATTCAGTCCATACTGCCAGCTCATAGTCTAGGCCTGGCATGTCATGGGGATTCAGGAAGATGTGCGTGGACTTGAGCTGGGATGGTAATGAGTATTCCTGTAGAAACTACTGTTCATTCATCCTTTCCTTCCATGCATCCATCCAAACATCCACTCATCCACTCATCCATCCACTCACCTGTCTATCCACTTACCTACCCACTCATCCCTACAACTGTCCACCCATCCACCCATTCACTCCATGCACCCATCCATCTATCCACTCATCTACGCACTCACCTGTCCATCCACTAACTCATGCACCTATACATACAACTGTCCATCCACCTATCCATCCATCCACCCATCCATCCATCCATCCATCCATCCATCCATCCATCCATCCATCCATCCATCCATCCACTCATCCACCCACTCACCTATCCATCCACTAACTCATGAACCCATACATACAATGCTATATGTCCATCCATATAGACATATTGATGTCTATATGGATGGTCCATCCATCCATCCATCCATCCATCCATCCATCCATCCATCCATCCCCATCCATCCACCCACTTACACTTATCTGCCCATCTATCTGTCCATCCATCCATCCATCTATCCATCTATCTATTTATCCATCCATCCACTCACCCATCCCTGTCCATCTATCCATCCATCCATCCATCCATCCATCCATCCATCCATCCATCCATTCACTCATCCACCCACCCAGCACGTATTACTTACCAGGTTCTGGGAAGCCCACATCTTCTTGTCAGATAGAAAGCACATCCTTTTCATCCATGGAGCTCATGGCTATGGGAGGTGGTTCCAGTACTCTAGGGACACCTTTGTCAGAAAAACAGACACCATTCACTTCAGTCAAAGCTCTTTTTTCCTTCACCACTGCTGACACAATGACTCACTCCAGCCTCAGCCATTTCTTTTGTCATGGATGCTGTCCCCAGGAGTCATCTGTGCTTTGACCAGCTTGGTGTCATTTGCCATTACTCACAACTTCAACTTGCTCTTTTTTTTTCAGGGAACCACTGTCCCTTGCTCTCAGTGGTCCTCCTGGGGCTGTTGGTCACAGTGTTTTATTCTCACTCTGGAAAGAGTGGATGATACTGGTGGAGAACTGATGAGCTTTCTCCTTCTGGCCTAGGACCGACAAGCAGGCTGAACAAGATTTAAATTGGTGCATATTTTGGATTCCAAGAGGCGAGGATATGAATTTAGACTAGGCTGCCTAAGAGAGAGATTGTCTCCTCCTGGGGCTACCTCATTGTTTCTTTTTGTCCCCTGTTACATAAAAAGCCACCTTTCCCTCCTGTTATTTAATCCACTCGTATCTCAGTCCACAGGAGACCTTATGCTAGCAGTAATTCCATTCCTGAATTCCCATCCGTGTCTCTTCTGGGTCTGTTTCCCCAGCTGTCAAATATGCTCCATTTGGCACAATGCAGTTATGTCCCTTTCTGGCCACTCGGTCTCCATCCCTCCTTCTGCAAAATCATGTCATTGTGTGTGACCTTATTATGGCAGTGGCACCTCTAGAGAGGCAGTTAGACGGAAGGCCAGAATCCTTCCTTTCCTGGTGGTGATGGGGTGAGACCCTGGCATAGGTCCGGCTGTGGGGTCTACAGTCCCTGGTCCTGTCTTGCAGAATCAAGGCTGCCCCCAGCCTCAGTTTCCCTTCCATGCTCCTCCAGTCTCCCCACTCTCCCTCTATGTGACAGAGTTCTTTCTCCTGTTTGAAAGCAAGGCAAGATGTAGCTTATTGGAAAGCAATGGAAAATGGCAAAACCGTCTAAACCCACAACATGCCTCTCAGCATCGTTCTGTCCCCTCACTCTGTGGCCATGCTTCAGAGTTTTGTGGGCACCTAGTGCCTCTGCATCTTCCCTCCAACTTACCCCCCCATTGGCTCTGGGGCTCCTGCCTTCAGTGCCTCCCTGGATCTGCTCGCTCTGTGTGCCATGGGTCCCCACAATGCCCTGCTTCCCCCTGTCCTTCCAGAGTGCTCCTTCTCTGTCTTTGCCACCTCCTTTTTCACAGCTGGATCCTAAGCCTAGCCATCTCACTACCCTCCTTGATCTCATCGACCTCGGAGACTTCTGGGGCCACCCCACGACACTGGTAACCAGAACCTCCAAATCCTTCAGTCCTATGTGCACTCTGCTTCTCCATGTGGGTTCTCCAACGTCCCAATGTGCCCCCACTGGGCTCCTGAGTGCACTCCACACTCAATCCCCTCCTGTTAGGGTCAGGGTCTCTACAAAGGGCACATGGCCTATGTGGAGCTCAGCCAGAGCCATTTGTTTTATGCAGAGCTACCCACAAAGCCCTTCATCTCCTCCACCTTAATCTCAGATTGTATGTCCACATCTGACCCAGGAGAGGTTGGGAAATGCTTGATTGTGCCGGATAGCATCGAGAACATGACACCTAGCACTTGCACAACCCCACTTTCCCCAGAATCCTGTAGGGAGGTACATATATAATTACTCCCACTTGGCAGATGAGAGACAAACACTTCCACTTGGGCGTGGGATTTCAGCAACCATGTGGGGGAGTTGGGACTGGAGCTCACACTTGAGTCCTCATCCTGGGCTTACCCTGGGCAGATGTCATAGGAGGGGAGCCTCCCTGCCAAGCCACTAGTGGAAGGAGGGGACAGTGTGCCCAAGGTCAAGGAGATGCCTGGAGACCTTGGGCTTGTGGGCCAGTGGAGTGTATCTGTGGGCATCTAATATGGTGGCCTTATGCTGGCACCCAATCCCAGCAGGCTTCCTTGAAACACACACAGTGAAGTTCTTTGGGAGCTCTTGGGATGCATCCAGAGCTGGGAGCCCCAGATTTGATGTCTCGGTCTGGCCCCAACCAGTCACAGGTACCTCATCCCTTCTTTGCACTCAGATGGCTTCTCTAACCAGGGAATAAGAGTAAGACTCCTGAGGTAAGGAGAGAGGAGCCCCAGTTCTTGGGCCGGGGCAGAACAAATATCCCCACCCCCAACTGGCCCTTCTGCACACGGCCCCCTAGCCAGATGATGTGATGGGGAGGTGAAAGCCTTAGGCTCCATGCGGACCCCTGTTTTCTAGAAACTGAGAGTACTCCATCCGATCTTGTTGGGAAAGGGTAACTAGAGCAGTCTGAGTTGGGGGAAAGGGTCAGCCTGGGTGGGCTCTGCTCCCCTTGTGGTTACTTTGAATGCCAGCTGTTGGGTTCCCTTGGTAGGCTGAGATTGGGGCCCTCAAGTTGGGCTGGGTTGGGTTGGGGGCAAGGGTCAGGATAGGGATCTGGACGTGGAAAGGGGTGATGGAAGACTAGGGATACCACTTTTGATCTCAGAGGAGTCTATGAAGTTGGGGTAGGAGGGGGGTTGAGGTGTGCTGGGGACCAGGCTGGGAGCACAGAGCTCCACAGGCCAGGAAAGGCCTGGGCAGTAATGCACAGCTAAGGATGGGACTGTAGGCCCAGGGGTGACCAGGCCTGGTATCTAAGTGGGCACACCCAAACAAGTGCCCAGAAGCTGAGGGCTGAGGCTGGATGAGGAAGGACACAAGGGCCTGGATATGAGGAAGGGGATGGACGCTGGGGTTACAAAAGGTGGTACTGTATTAGGCAGGTAGGGCCTTGAGGATGGGGACTTGGGTGGGGCTGAAGGATTATTAGGGCTCAGGCCTTGTAAATGGGTAGCTTGGGCTTTCTGGGCAGACCTGTGGCCCTGAGGATCATTGTGGGGATAGTCAGAAAGATGCTCAGTGGGTCTTGAATGCTGGAGAGATGCGGGGGAGTCTGGTGGAAGATTAGCAGGACTGAATCTTGGGATGGGGCTGATGGTATAAGGGAGGGGCCGAGGGTTTGAGGCTGGTCTGTGGACACGGGGGTGGGGCCGTGGATTTGGGGGCCGAGCCGTGGATTTAGGGGCCCAACTGAGGGCCTGGGGAAGGGCAGAGGGCATGGGGCGGGGCCGCGGTTGTGGGGGCGGGGCCTCGGGCATGGGGGCGGGACCGGACGCCGCAGCAGGGCCGAGCAGCGCGGCCCAGGTGAGCAGGCCGCCGCCCCCTTCTGCCAGCTCTCCTGCACCGTCCGGTCCCTCCGCGCGCCAGCTCGGCGGCCTGCTGAACAGTAGCTGGAGGCGTCTGCGGACTGGGCAGGCTCAGCCCGGCTCCATCTTGGGTCGCCACGCCGGGCACCTGTGGCGGCCGCAGGAGCAGCGCTTCGGCCCGTTGCGCGGCCCGGGGCGGGAAAGAGGGTGAGAGCCTGGCGTGCCCCCATCGGGAGAGGGGTTGGCTGCGCCCCCGGAAGCCCGTCCTCATGACTCCTGCACCCAAATCTCGTCATTCCGGCTCCGGGGATGCTCGCGGCCCCGGGCAGCACCCTCATCCAGCGCAGTCCCTCCTCCGGCTGCGCGGCCTCCTCGCTGCTCCCATCCCCCCATCCTCCCCATGTGTTCCCTCGGTGGCCAGAACCCGCCCCACTTCGCCCTGCGTCTGCCGGCTTTCTCCGGTCCTCGCTCCCCACTTCTGCCTTGTCCACAGGTCTGCAGCCCAGTGTCCGTGGTCTTGTTCCTGGCCCGGAAGGGCGGGCGGGTCTCAGCCTGTGAGGGAGGGTGGGCAGGAGGACCCTGGGTGAGGCCATGCATGGGTCCCCAGGCCTTGGCCTGCGCTGGCTGCAGAGGGGAACCGTGTGGATGCTTCTCCGCAGGCTGCCTGCACAGGAGCCTGTCCGGCCTCTGGTGTGTCCTCGGTGGCGTGTGTGTCCACCTTGGGCACAGTGCCGGTGAGTGTGCGGGAGGGACACACTGGCTCCCTGGGCTGCTTCTAGGCTGGAGCAACTGGCAGGGCTGGTGAGTGTGGGCTGAGCCTCCTATGGCAGGAAACTGTGCAGGCCTGGATCTCTGGGCTGGGCAGAGTGGCATCCTGATCCCCAGGCGCTTTCCTGGCACTACTTGTGACCCCGGCAAGTTGCCCAAAGGTACCTTCATCCTCTTTGTGGTAGGCAGATCTGCCCCCCTGCGAGTATCCCGTTTCCTAGACTCTCCCTGCTGCATCACTTAGCTTTGGCCCTGCCAGGCCCCCTTTGCCTCTGGGACAGATTAAACCACCTGCTGGACGTTGCTGCTGAGTCCCCACCGCAGTGAGGGATCTGTGGGATGTAGATTCCAGCTGGCCCCTGAGGGGTAGGTTGGGCACCTCGTCATGTGCTGTTTGCCCTCCCAACCCTGTGGACTTGCTTTTCCCGTTGTGGTTTCACTAGACACAAATGGCCTCATCCAGATGCCCCCTGCTTACCACGAGGGGACTCACAGGCCACAGTGTATGCGAGATGGGAGCTTTGTAAAGCCCAGGGCTCTTCTGCCAGGGTGGGAATTGGAACATACGGCCAAGTCAACAAGCGAAGCAGTCTGACTGGGCAGCCTAGAAGTTTCTATGCAACCGGGCCTTTTTCCTGAAATTACCTCGATTGACAGCTGCATATGAGGCAGGTTGGTCCTGTAGTTGCAGCCTGGCTTTGGCCACAGAACACTGGCCATGGCCCTTGCAACTTCGGCATCTTCTGGGGCAAGCTGGAAGGATGCTAGTGTTCTTAGGAGCTTCTGTGTGCCTGTGCTTTGTCTATGCTGAACCATCTTCCTAGGTTCTGTTCTGGGGAAACCAGATCTTTCCCAACATGGTGAAGGCAGGTGGGCACTCGGCAAGCAGACTCCAAAGTCATGAGTGTGCTGATTTTTTGAGTGTTGTCTAAAGTAGGATCTGGGAAACAGCATGGTGGTGGGGACACTAGTGATGGCCAGGGCCTAGGATGGGATGGAGGTAGCAAGAGTGGGCAGCAAGACCAGGCTGGGGCCGGGGAGATGGCTCAGTTGAATAATCTCTTGCCTAGCAAGTGCAAGAGCCTGAGTTCAATCCCCGGTTCCACAAAAACAAACAAAACAAAAAAAGACCAGGCTGGCCAGTGGGCCCTGCAGTGGCTTCGTAAAAGAGCCTTACTGCCCCCTGGACCTGGCCCCAGCAATTCTTTGAGCCCAAGCTTAAGATAAAGAACAGAAAATGATTGTCACAGCCCATATGCCATTGAGTTTATAGCCTTCACAATAGCCATGCAGCGTGGAGGGTCACTTCTATTTTTCAGATTGGGGAAACTGAGGCTCAAAGAAATGAAGTGTCCACTGTAGGGCACATTGCTGGAGGGAGTGCCCCATATACCCCTTACTCTACATGCACATGGGGCCAAACATAGGACCCTCTCTCTATTCCAGTCTGAGGAGACAGGGAGCTGTGAAAAGGCACATGGGAAGCCTCCTCTCCCCATGGAGACCTAGAGGGACTTCTTTGGAGCCCTGTTTCTCCCCAGGCTGGGGAGGCCATGTTGCAAGAGAAGCCCTGCTGGGTTCTGAATCAGCCACTTTCAGCCTTGGGCTCTTTGAAACTTTTTAAAAAACTGCTCACTTTTGACACTTGCCTCTTGCGGGGTCGTGGGATAGGGAGAGGAGCCAGCAGATAAATAACCCTCTGTCAGGCCCCTGTGGTCACTGAGCTGTCTGGCGGGGCAGTCACAGCAAGTCTGCAAGCCCTGGTGTCTTCTCACTAAGTCTTGCCCCACCTGTGTCCTTACAGGGCCAAGGGCTGACCTGGCTCTGGCCTGTTCTCTACGAAGATCTGAAGTATGGGCTACAACCTAAGGCTGTCCTGATGGGGCTCCCAGGGGTCCTTGGACCTGTGGCTGGGTGTCTCTGTGCCAAAAGCTGGTGGTGATCACCAGGTTCCTGGCTAGCTGGTGTGTCCCCTCCCTCCTTACTCTGGGGAATCACAGAAGCAGCAGCTTGGGTGGGTGGGGGCCGACTTTGCTCCCACCTACTCACTTGCCTCATTGGTATCCTAAGTGTCAGATGCTTGGCTGGGTGAGGGTGGTCTAGGTGATGATAGGAAAGGGTGACAGTGGCTAGGCCGGAGGAGGGCACTGTGCTCAGAGAGCCGCTTGCTAGGTATGTGCCCATGAGCAAGTCACTGAACCTCAGAGTTCTGACCTCCTTCCTCCTTTGTAGAATGGGATGCTGATTTATCTCATTAGGTTGCTCTGACAGTTAAATGAGACACTGTTTGCAAAGGATGTGCCACATGCCTGGCATGTGGTCAGTGTCGGGTGCTGGGAGCTGGCAGTGCCCTCCTTTATCTGTCCAACTTAAAACACCTTGAGAGCAGCACCTGGCCACTTGCCCCTGTCCTGCCTGACCTGGGATCAGTCTGGTTTCAGCCCCAAGACACAGCTGGGATGGGACCCTCCTTCCTATGCTGGGCATGGTCTGGCAGGGCAGCCATTCTTAACATGGGGCCAGTTAAACCTAAAATCATAAATGCAGTTTCTTGGCCACTGTCGCAGCCCATGAGGTGCTCAGGAGCCTCTCGTGACTGAGGAGTGTGGGCAGAGCCTTTGTACAGTGCAGTCTGGGCCCCATAATCCAGAACTAGCTTTGCCACTAGCCCAGCAGCCACCAGCTGTCTCCTGTGTGCATAGCAGCAAGATGTTTGGAGGACATGAAACTGGCTCCAGGAGCCCCTCCTCACTTCTGTTCAGCAGCCTTGCTTGCCTAGCCAGGGAGGGTTGTTTCCTGGCAGACCTTATCAGCCCAGGGTGGGAGGGAAGGGCTAGGATTACCCAAACTGCAACTGCTCCTCCTGTCCCTGCCCTGTTTCTGCAGCCTGGCTGCCTGGTTGTGTGTTCCTGAGTGAACTTCCTCAGGTGAGCTTTAGCTGGGGCACTGGCCAGAGCACCAACATCCACAGCTGTAGCCAGGGCACCCCTGGATTCTGCTGTTCTCCTGGCCTACTCTTTCCCTGCTCCTTCGATCCCCTGCCTCTTATCTTCTGCCTACCTGTTCCTTGACCTGCACCTTGTGTCCCCCTCCCTCTAGCCCTGACTTCAACATCTGGGCCTCAGGAGAGCCTCTTGGGGTACCCATGGTAGATGCAAGCTCACTGCTTGTGATGCCTGCCTTGGGCCCATGTGGACTCCCAAGCTGCTCCAGAGTGGTCTGGTCTTGCACAGGTTCATTCCCTCCATCAGGCACACAGCAGATGTCAGGTCAGCACAGGGTGCTGGTCAGATGGTAGGGAATAGGCCATGAGCCTGGCTTTGTCACCTTCCAGCTGGCACTGAGGCTGGAGGGCAGCCCATTCTATCTGGGCCTGAAGGGGTTCAGCAGGGATGGGGCAGCCCTGCTGCTGAGAGGTCCAGGGAGGGCTCCTTGGAGGAGATACAGGTGGCAAAGGAAGCATCGCAGTGACTTGGTTCTGCCAGGTCAGTGCATGTCTCAAGGGGCCTCTGTGTGGCCTGAGGAAGGGATGATAGCAGTGGCAGGAGGGTGGGATGGAAGGATACAGCATGCTGGGCAAGAGGGAGATGAAATACTGTGGAGGACATGTCTGAGAGGTGATGTTGGGTGGGCTTCTGAGCTCGCTGCTGCCAGGTCTGAGTGGATCCCATGTGGCCCAGCTGCAGATCCTGCTCAGCAGGGTGAGGGCAGGGCAGGGGCTCAGAAGATGGCTGTGGAAGAGATGCAAGCTGTTTTGCACAGCCAGGCTGCAGGGGATTGAGTACAACCTTGGGTGTTTCTCAGTGTGTGCTCCATCTCATCTCGCAAACCTCGGAGCCCTGGTTCTGTGCCCACGAGGTCTCAAGCCATGATGAGACAGTTGTTGCCAGCCTGGGAGGACCAGGCTAGTACTCACCAGCCCAGCTGCCCTAACTATTAAGATTCTGCAGCACTTCAGTGGCTCTTTAGTGGTCAGGTTATGGGGGAAGGGAAAGGGAGCCAGGGGAGAACCCAAGTCCCCCAGGGCTGGGACTGCAGCACTGGGGCCAAGGCCTTTGGGACAATGGCTCAGACAAGCAGCACTGAAGTGCCCAGTGGCAGAAGAGCCAACTGCTCCACTTAACTCCTTCCCTTCCTTTTTTCTCCTGCAGGCAGCTATGAGCTCCAGCCGTGAGCCAGGTTCCAGGTACCCCCAGAGCCCCCGCCCACAAGCCCTGTCCCAGAGCTCTTCCAGTCTACTGTGTGAAGGCCATGGGCAGAGGCCAGAGCTCCGCAAGAGTGTCAGCAGCACCGTGTGGCGGGCCCAACAGGGCGAGGCCAGTACTGCACCCCAGGCTCCGGAGGAAGAGGGGCACCCACCTGAGAGCCCTGAAACGAAGGCCCAGGTCCCCAGCTCCCAGGCCCCTATCCCCCAGCCGCAGGCTGTGGGCCACTGGCGGAGCAGCACAGTGGGCAATGTGTCCATGATGGGCAGTGGGGACCTTGGCCGCTTGCGGGCTCCCAGTGTGGCTGCGGTGCAGAGGAGCCACTCGGACCTGGCCCGTAGTGTCCAGACCAGGGGACACAATGGGGCCCGGAAGGCCAGCCTTAGCTGCTCAGCCCTTGGTGGTGGCTCCCCAGTGCACAAGGCTCAGCTGCAGCCTGGAGGTGTTTCTGGCCAGGTTGGCCCAGCCCCTGCAGCTGTGGGAGAGGACCTGGCTCCAGAAGATGGGACTTCTAACTCAGCCTGGGTGCTGGGGGACAGTCAAGTGTGGAAGCCAGCACTAGAGCCAGGGGACAAAGCTTCCCTCAGTGAAAGTCTCCAGGCTGAGTCCAAAGCCACTGGACAGCTGGCTACTGCCTCCTGCCACACTCTGACCCCTGCTGCCCTGCTCTGCAGCATGAGGGAGGTGGTGACCAGCAGCTGCTGCCATGCTATGCCTGCCACAGGGATCCTGGCCTTTCCCAAACTGGTGGCATCAGTGAGCGAGTCTGGGCTTCAGGCTCAGCATGGTGTGAGATTTCACTGCATGGCACCTGGGCTGCTCCCTGGGCACACCCACTGCTGCACCCACCCATGGAGCCCCGCAGTGCCAGCCACAGAACCTGGCTGTAGGACCAAGGATGTGTGGACCATGACTTCTGCCAGTGACCTGGCACCTGCATTGGCCTCGGCCCAAGATGCTGGTGTGCAGGTGGCCCCAGTGGCAGCTTGCAAGGCAGTGGCCACCAGCCCATCCCTAGCAGCCTCGGCCCTGCACATGTTCCCCGAGGTAACACTAGGGCCCAGCCTAGAGGAAGCACTGTCTCCCGTACGGGATGTGCGGTGGGATGCTGAGGGCATGACATGGGAGGTGTATGGAGCTTCGGTGGACCCTGAGGTGCTGGGTGTGGCCATCCAGAAGCACCTGGAGATGCAGTTTGAACAGCTGCAGCGGGCACCAGCCAGCGAGGACAGCCTGTCCACTGAGGGCCGGAGGGGCCCACTGCGTGCTGTCATGCAGTCCCTGCGGCGCCCCAGTTGCTGCGGCTGCTCCAGTGCAGCCCCTGAATGAAGAACTGTAGTCCTGGAGCTGGCTGGCCCATTGACTTGGCCCTATGCCAGAACCAGGGACAGCAGGGCCCCATGCCACCCAGAGCTGTGGCGTGTGGGCGCATCTCTTCCCTGAACATAGACTGCTTCTAGACCACAGGATGCAGCCTGTGGCTTCCAGTTCCAGAGCAGAGCTGGTTTTCAAGGGCTTGATTCCCAAGGGCCACATCCAATTCTAGGCTTTGGGCCTTGGGCAGGATTTTTGCACTGTGCATAAAGCAAGATTCTGGCTTTTCTGTAAAAATACTTGACCTGCTGTTCAGTCTACCCTCACAACTTCATCATGTTTCCTCTAGGACTCTCAGTGGCTTTATTTTAAAGCATTTCTTAGAAAGAATGAATTCTTAGGTTAAAAGGAGGGTCCCAAAGTGACAGGTTCACCTGGCCACTGTGTGTGGTGGATCTGGGGAGGAGGAGTAGTTCCAGGAGGCTCAGAAGGTCAGGGACAGGCCACGTGTGTGCCACAGGGTGTGTCTAGCAGCAGCAAAACCGTCCCTGTGCAGAGACTTTCCCTCCATCACATGTGACTTTCGTGAGATGTGTGCCAATCTGTACCAGGTTCTACTGTTCTCGGAACCAGGGTGGCAGCCCAGGCTGGGCCCAGTGTGGGACAGGCCAGACAAGCCACCCACCCACCTCATAGGGACCGAGACAAACCTCTGAGGGGAGTTCCACCTGGCCTGGGTCCTGGCAGAGGTCCCTGAAACACCCTCCTGGTTAAAGCCCACACTTGACTTGCTAGCTGCGCCGCCTGGCCTCTGCCATCAGGCTGCTTGGAGTTGCTGTGGCTGAATTTCTGGTTGGGACAGAGAACTTATCTTGTCCCCTCCTGGGCCAGGCCTGAGGCTGCACTGGTCAGTGTGCCCTTCCTTGGCCTTGGCTCTCTGGCCAGACTTCCTATGTCCCTTTCATAGGGGATGTGGGATCACACTGTCCATATATTTGTTTGTTTTTTAAAATTCAAAATAAATACAAATTGGGAGGTCAGTGCTGTCTCAGGGCCCCACAGGAAAGGGATGTGTGTGTCTCAGTGATTTTTAAAAATTTTGTTCTGGTAAATTCTGTTCCCAGAGCATAAACCCAAGCCTGGAACTCCTGCCTGGCAGGAATCCTTCATCTTCTCTGAAGTCTCTTCTCTGCCCAATAGGTCTCCTTCTGTAGCAGCTGGGGTCCCCCACAACTGAAGCTTGGCTTCTTGGGACTTGTCCCTTCTTGGCCAGGACACAGGCATACATGTCTCATTTGGCCCCAGACTGCTATCACCTCAGAAGGAGCTAAGACCTAAATGAGGAAAAGCTGTGGATGGTGCCACAGTGTGAGGATGTCAGAAAGCAAGAAGTGGTCCCTTCCACTGTGATGTCACCTCCAGGTTCGCTGGTATGTGTCTGTTCCCCGGTCACTCAGGCATTGAAGGGTCCTAGCACTTTGGGCTTGGGGCCACCACGTAGGGTCTATAGCTGGACCTGGATCCACCCTGACAGCCTCATGGGTCTGAGCTTCCTCAGCAGTAAGGTGAGGATAATGACCACGCCTCCTTCCTTGCCTGTGTGGGGAGTGGACTAGGATGTCCTATGTGAGGCGCTTGGAACATGTGCTGGTGCAGTGTGTGGCATCCCTCAGCCACAAAAGGGCCAGCTCGGCTATGATCTGGCCACCTGCTTAAATGTCCTTCCTCCAGAGATGTCCCAAGTCCTTACCCTCAGCTGTGTACCCTGCTCAAGATGCCTGCTTTTGGACGAGGACCTGGGAGCCCACAGTTCTCTTAGGGCTATATGGAAGAGGACATTCCTGTGAGGATGGCTTCCCCAAGCTCGTGGTGACCAATGGACTCAGAAGTGGGGAGGAAAAGGCAGGGAAGGCCAAGCCAGCCAAGGATTTGGCATCAGGCCCAACCAGTCTCACAGAGTGAATGACACCCCAGGAAGAGAGCCAGGCACGTCTGGCTCTCTGGTGGGCAGTCTGGGAGGCTGCAGGGCCATTGCAGGTCTGCCCTATTCCAGAGGAAGGTGCTCAGGGAGGCCGACAGAAGGAGGCCTGGGTGGCCAGAGAAGGCCCATGTACCAGGCATCCCAACCCCCAGGAGATATGGCTCTGAAATGCCCAGCCCCAAACTCCACACATTGCTCAGAAGCAAATCTATCTCATTCATGTTCATGCCAAAGTGACCTTGGTTAGGAAAATGTGGAGCTTGGCATTCATCCATATTGAATTCTTTCTCCTCTGTCATTCTGGCCTGGCCCAGTTTTGACATCTGCAGCTATGACTAACCATTTGTCAGCTCCCATCCTGCTTCTTAGGAGGGCAGGCCCTGCCCAGAGCCCAGAGTGTCACAGGGTTGTCCTATAGTGTGGTCTCCAGGCCTCTCCAGATTCACATTGTCATCGTGAGAAAACATGACATTAAACCCTGATCTTTAATGTCACTTTAATCCTAGGCCCAGGACTGTCCCTCCAGGGTAGGCAAAAAGGGTACGGCCTTTCTCCAGTCATCCTCCTACAAGCAGTTGTCCAGCTATGGATTGCGGCTTCCTTTTCCTGATCTGACTTCTGTTCAACATGTTCTAGAAATTTGAGATTGGAAGCAAGCAATCATCTTGACTACCTACTCACGCTTCTGGGGCCTGAGGCCCACCTTGCCCTCAAATTTCTCCTGCTTGGCCTCTACCTCCCTCACTTCCTGGTACCCAGCACATAATCTCCCTCTGTTCTAGTTGGGAGGTGACCCTGGGGTGGGAGAATTGGGCTCCTCACCACAACTTCCTCATGGAGACTTTCAGGGGGTGGGAGTCCAAAAGTTGGGTGAGGGGTCTCAACACAGGGCTAATTCTGCTGCCATGGTTACAGAGATAATAAAACAGGAAACCTAAGCCATTACTAAGAAGTATGGGTCCTTGGAATCAGGGCAGACATGTGGACTCCCCCACTCTTGCTCCAGAAGCAGATGCACACTGCCTTTGCTCCCTTGAGTGGTGATTTTGCAGGGCAGGCCCCCAAACCAGAGCTCTTCAAGGGTTAGCCTAAAAATCACCTCTGATGTGAACCCCTAGGGAGTATGGCAGCTGGCATGCACAGGTTGGACTGGGGAATGTGTCCAACTTGAGGGTGCCCATGGGTGCCTGGCCTAGTAGGCCTGTCCTTGGAGTTCTCGTTTCTGAGCATCTTTCCTGAAAAAATACATGGATGCCTCCTCTGCACCATGTGAAAACCCCCCAGGCTGCTGACGGTTTCCTGTGGACAGCCAAGGACAGAAAGTGGCCCCTCATGCTTGCTCATGCCCCCTAGTCGGTTGGGCATGCCTTCATTTTAGTGTCTCCCCTGCACTGTCTCAGGTCCTCTTGGCCCCCAGGACTCTGTCTCTCCATCGTTGTCCTGTGTCCTTGCTCCTATCCCCTTTGCTGTCATGCCAGGGACCTGTCTTGCTTCAGCTGTGTCACTCAAGAGTCCTGCCTCTTGACATGGTTGGGGACATTTTCCCTGCCATGCCTGGCTCTTATCATTCCTGATGTTCAAGGAGTTTGTGTCTTTCCTCTCCACTGTCCCTTTCCTCATGGAAAACACAGTAAACCACCTGAGTGCCTGGGTGGCTCCTGAGCATCTCCTTAGAGAGGAAGGGAGGCCTCTCTAGGGTCAACTTCCAGGGCACCATGGTGTCAGAGACAGACTGCTTGTCAGTGGACAGCCCAAAAAGGCACTGTGAGCCCTAACTGCTTGTCTGGGGCTGCTGGCAAGTTGCTGGAGAAGCTCACTAGATGGTGGTGTTCTCTTGCTTGTCAGGGGAAGGGCCCATCTTTCTTTTTTGTGTTCAGAATCTCATGTGCCTTGGAACTGAGTTGAGTCATGACATGAGCCTCCTTGGGGACATGCCCCACAGTCCCATCTATGAGTGTTTCTCCTGGCTTGGGACTGAGGGAGGGGACTTCTCACTTTGACATCAAGTACATAAGCTGTCCCCCACCCAGGCCTCTTCCATTTTCCTGTCCCCTCAGTCCCCCACCTGCAGCCTTCTGCCTCCCATCCCCTCTGTATCATCTCAGTTGTAGCAATCAGGCATCTGGAAGTCTGTGACCAAGGCTACCATTGTTTAGGCAAGTTGCCTGGTGATTGTAAGCCCAACTGGGTGGGAGGGCAGGGAAAGGCGAAGAGAGCCCTCGCTGCTGAGGTCCCAACTTCTTGTCTCCCTGCTTTCTGATATTTGAGCTCTTTGGGAACTCATGACCCCTTCCTAATTGGAAGCCTGGGTGCCAAAGGCATGTGGGCATGGGGGTAGGGGAGGGGTCAGCCTAGAAAACTGCAGAAGACTGGCAGAAGGCTGGGGCTGGCAGGCAGGAAGCAGGATCTGACTTTATTGGAAATGTTGACATTTTGTCATTAATTTTGATTTTGAAAATATTGCATTAAGTGTCATTTCTCTTAGCACCTGCATCATCTATCAAATCTTCCAGTGTTGCTCTTAGATGCAGCCTGGCCCGCTCCTCCTCTGCCAGGGCACCCTGTTTCCTGTTCCCCCAGCTCTCCTGTGAACATTCAGGTCTGCCATACTGACAGACTGAGGTTTTTCAGATAGAAAATAAAGGATCTGGGATTTGAACGCCAGGCCTGGCTTTCAGTTTGTCTTTCAAACTGAAAGACAAACTGTTGTATGTGTTTGTGGTAAGACCTGCAGATAGAGGGACGCGTGGGTGAAGGCTTGACCCTCTCCTCTTGGAATCTCTGCATGTCACTCCTTCTGTTACAAGCTCAGGTCCTCTGACCATGTTTTTTTTTTTTTTCTTTTAAATTTTTATTTTTATGGGCCCATGATTGCAGAGCATACAATTACCTTTCTTGTGGAGAGCTGATGTGTGCACATCATCCACATTAATTCCTTTTTATTTCTCGTCCCTTCTCTTCTTCCCCCTTCTCTCCATCCCTTGATCCCTTTATTTGTAAAAAGACCTGTGTCCCTGGTTCATATTATCTGTCTTTTATTTATACTTTAGATTTCATATAAGAGAAGCCATGTGACAGTCACACTTGTGTGTCTGACTTGCTTCACTTAACATTATGGCCTCAAGGAGCATCCATTGTCCTGCACGTGACTCAGGCTAACCCTTCTTTATGGCCAAGTAGTACTCCGTGGCATGTATAGCACATTTTCGCTACTTATTGGTTGATGTGCATATAAGCTTTAGCTACTATAAGGTGTGCTGCTAGAAACACGGGTGTGCATGGGTCCCTAAAATATGATGTTTTTGATTCTTTCAGGAAAATATCTAGAATGAGAACAGCTGAGTGGGATGGACTGTGTAGTTTAAGATTTTGTGGAGCCTCCACACTGATTTCCACAGCAGTTGTGCAATCTTACCGTTCCTGTAGCTTTGCTTTTTGTAGAATGTTGTGGTGTTGGAATCATGCAGTATGAAGTCCTTTCA